TGATTTAATAAATGTTGAATTTGTTGAAATAAATAAAAAGCGTTTAAGATAATCATTTAATTGACATGAATTAATATTTATGTCTTCATTACATTGTTCTATATGTATAATTAATATTTTATTATTGTTATAAGCAAGACGATTTATTGATTGTTGTAAATAAATAAGTGGACATTGATGAGAATTTTTTATTAGACGTTTGTGATTAATTAATGAAGATCTTTTATATTCATGTGATATACAATTTACTGTTTGAAGATTCCATATACATTGATTAGAATATGCATTACAAGATGAACATGAAAGAAAATTTGAACAATTTATAAATACTAAATCATAATGTCCAAATGTAAAATTTGTTTTTAAATGATATACTGATAAAACAACATTATAAACGGCTAAAGAAAATTTTTTCATACATAAATATTCGAAGAAAAAAAGAAAAAAAAATAACTACTCATGTCTTACCTTGATTTATATTATTTAATATAGGTGGTAAACATTTTAATGTTTTATCATTAAGAAGAAGAGCATTTGTATAAAATAAAAATTCATTTTCATTTGTTAAACGAAATTGACATTGATATTCATCAATATTATTTTGTAATGGAATATTAAAAATAATCTCTAACTAAAATATTAGAAAGAAAATGCTTATAAAAAAAATGAACTAGTAATAAAAAAAAAAAACTTTACTTGTATATTTGATGAATGTAATGATATTGTGTCTGGAATAACTCGTTCGATATTTGTACACATGTTGATTTGATGAAGATTTTTATGTCTATGATTTGCATTTATACATTCAAATGTAGGTGTACATCTAAGAAATAAATATTTAATAGAATAAGTTTTGCTTTTTATTTTAATCATAGACATTCTACCTTTGTTCTCTAGAACACCAATGACAAAGACCAACATTTGAACATTGATCACATGTTTTATACTGTTCACACGTACTTAAATTTTGTTTGATTATCTAAATGAAGACGAATGAGTCTATAAAACTAGTTCATATCTATGACTAAAGAGAGAATCTAGCTAAGTCAAAGAATTGCTGTTGAAATAAGTCTTATCTCATAAAGTAAATCTTATTTTAGATTAAATAAAGTCTAAAAAGACTTGTGTACATGAGTCTTTCTACTTGAATTATAGTCAATTGTAGTGAGTTTTTCAACAAAGTATTGTAGTTCTTCCTAGGTCCCTTGTCAAATCGACTTATCAGTTTATTCAAAATTTTGTCATGTGAAACAGCAAATTTTGTTCTTATATTTGTATATCTAAAAATGAGAAATTCTAGAAGGTTTCCCATTTTCACAATGTATTATTGTCATTGTAAACTCTATAAACGTCGATGTTGAATATGACTGAAAAATTAAAAGAAATGGTTATAACTCAAGAGAAAACAAATACGAATACGAATCCTATTGGGCTTTTCCTAGTGTAAATAGAAACTACCTATTACGGTAACACTTCCTCAAAATTGATATATCACTTGTCAAGATCCTGTCGTAAAAAGAATACAAAGCAATTCGAGTCTACAGCTGAGATCTGACCTTGTACATTTCTTGAAGCAAAGAAAAACAATATTTATTGATTGAAAAGATTAATATCATAAGTTAAAACTTTGAAATTCGTTATGGTAAAAAAAATAAGTTTCTATAGTGTTTTTGACCTAGATAGTATCAGATGTCGATTCAACTTGCTAATTCTTCTTCGTCTGATAGACATTAATTTATAATCAAAATGTCGATCGTTTAAGAATATTGCCTCATAAAACACTACATAACTCAACAATTACTTTGAGTCAATAAAGAAATATATTCAGTAATTACTCCTATTGAAACTATACCATGTATATTTAATTTTCTGATAACATGGGATAGAGCTAAATATACTGTTTAGAAAAAAGAAAAAAAAAAATAGAATTTTGTCGACTCTTAACGATATTGCCTATCATCATAGTGTCTCTAAGCATTTGATTTCGAAGCCTATCAATATTTCTTTTACATATGCACTGCAAATGTGAAATCCTAAACATGTTAATATCGTATTATTATGTATCTATACAAAATTGCACATTATTGAATTTTTATTAAGTGAAGCCTCGTGTTTACCATCAGAATGAGATTCTGAATAAAACATAAATTCAAATTTTTTCTTTTGCTTTATAAAGGGTATAATTTAAAACAATGAATTTTCTTTCTCAAATATATAATATTAGTTTTATTCAAGGAGAAAAAGAAAATTCATTCTAAATCATCGTTACCTGATTATTAGTAAGCACGAGAAGATTAGCATTTCTTAACAATGGTTTTTTATTAATTAGTTTTAAATCAATTATCATTGATGATGGAAAATTTTGTTTATCAATTTCATTCATATTTGATACATGAAACTATACAAATAGTAAAAATTCAAATAGAAATATTTTTTTCTTTTACTTATAAAAAATCTTACCGTATATAAAGTTCCATTATCATCTCCTAATAAAATCATCACATCATTATTGATTGAAACAATTTCAATAGCTGTAAAATTGACATTTTCATTTAATTCAATAATCGGTTCAATTTGTTCTAATGATCGATGACCACCAATAGGATATTGAAAAAATCTATCATCACTATCTGGACAATAATCATGATTGATTTCATTTAAATTCTATTTCACATAAAATTAATATTTCATTTTTTTTTTACAAATTGAATTTTAATATTCAACTTACTTTATTAGATACACAATGTGTATCTGGACTAATAAAACCTAAACCACGATAACCTTTTCCATCAACAAGACAACGTTTTATTGATTGAAAAAAAGCTTCACGTATTGAATCAATTGAATATGAACATACAGCATGTGATGTGTCAGATGAATTAGCTAATGTTGTATTACGAAATATGCCATATAATATATTATTTTCTTTAGAAAATTTTGCTGTAACTAAATAATGATAATTTTTTCCACATGTTATTGGAATTTCCACATAACTTTTAATAATTGACTGTTTCAATGTTTGACAAAAACGTAAAATTTTCGTTTGTAATTTATATTTTCGTGTATGATAAATATCTGATTGTTGAATAGTTAAAAAATATGATATATTTTTATGTTCAAACCCATATAAATAATAAAGAAAAAAATCTTTTATTAAACGTATATTTAATAAACGTAATGTATACGTGGATTGTTGTAATGCGGATTGACCAGAATTTAAATTAATGATTGATAGAAAATCTTTATCTATTGATCGACCACTTATTGTTGGAATTTCATAAAATGGATCACATAATATATCATACGTGTTCGATAAATATAATATATGATTATTTTCACTTATAAAACCAATTGAAGGATAGATTGGTGATGATGAAACAATACGTTGTGATGAATTTTTTAATAAATTAAGATTAATTAATGAACGTAATTGACATGAACCACCACGATTTGATGTTGAACATATTAATATGGAATCATTAATTAATAAAAGTAA